CAGCCCACTTAGAGAAGGCAGTTAGAATAAGAATTCAAAACCACGGTCATCGAGTCAAGAGCAACGCCCCCTATGGGTTTCTGAGACGGCTCTTTCCAGAGCAGAAAGCCCAGCCTGGTCTCCCGAAGAGCTTCCCGTGGTTTCGGACTGCCAACCCTGCATATCGCAGCCCAACGCGTAACTAAGTCCTGAGCCACCCGGGGCTCCGGGAGAAAAGTGGGGATCGGGGCTGGATCTGCTCAACGGCTACGGGGTGGCAGGAGTTTGCATCAGTACTCAGATTGCTGGCTTCCTGGCCATGGCTCCCTTCGGAGTTGAGTCACAACTGAACGGCAGCGGGTTCAGTAAACATGGGTCTACTCACCGCCCAGCCACCTGCTCCGAGGGAGAAAGTGAGGGCCTTAGAAACCCGCAGGGGCCCTTAGAAACCCAGTCCTGCCGGGCTACTATGAGTCAGTACTGACTCGATGGCAGGAAGTTCGGTTGGAGTTTGGCTTTGGGTCGGGCCACACCCATAGCTCAAATAGGCCTTTCCCAGAGAGGGCTGAATGTGGATGCAGCTGAATCACCTGACCCAAGTCCCGCCTGTGGGCGAGGAGCTCCAGGAAAGCACAGGAGCAAGTAGAACTCCGTGGACAGCGCACTAAAGACAGGCCCACTGAGATTTCCATCGTGTACACGAGGACTGGGGCTCGGGCAGGTTTGCAGCCAGGCAGTCTGACTCCAGAGCCTGCCCTCTTTGGGCGTGATGCCACTGGCCTTCAGGAAGGGGTGGTAGGCACCCTCTGGGGTGCCCTCCCTGTGGCTGGAGAGGCCCGCCCTGCGTCGCACGGGCATTTCAAACCGACCTCCATCTCATCTGAGTTGGGGAAGGTCCGCAGGCACTCGCCGCTGTTGTAGTTCCACATCTTCACTGTGCCGTCCAGCAGGCCCGTGAGCAGACACCGCTCAGACTCGTCCATGGCCATGGCCGTCAGCTCCACGTGACTGGCATCCGTCACGGCGAAGTTTGTCAGGTGCTTGCCTGTCATGACCTCCCACACGTTCACCATGCCTTTCTGGCTGCCACTCAACACCTGTGGGGAATGCAGGGGCTGGGCGCTCAGGGAGGGGAGCAGCTCCTCTCCAAGGATGGCCTCCAGCCTCACCCCCCGCCCCCCAGCCTTCATGAAGGCCCCCCTTGAGACAGGTCTCCCTCTGAGTCACAGGCTGTCAGGAGACGTTTGGAGTGGTGTCTCCTTTCCCTGGGAAATGGCACCTATCAGACCTAGCCAGAGAATACGATCCCTCATTTGGAAAAGACCTTAACTGCAGCATCACTCATTGGGGCCAGGGAGGTGGGGGTGGGGGGAGACAGGAAATGATGCCCCCTCAAAGTCATGCTTGCAGGGGAATCCTGAGAGTCAAAGGTCTCCCCACACACACACATTGATACATTTGGCTGTTGTTACAACTGTTACAATGTAGCAGGAACAGGGCAGGATTTCAGGCCAACCTCCCTGCTGAGGACAACGAGAAAGGCTGGTTCCGGTCGGTCGAAAGGCATGGAAGAGCTCAGAGGCAGTGAGGGGCGGGGTGCCAACGTCAGGATGGAGGGAGGCTGTGCATCCTGGGGCCAAAGGCATCATCGTGCAGTAACTGATGCAGACACCCTGCCTAGCACCCAGGCCACAGAAGGGGTCCTGATGGGAGCTGGCTATAGACTAAAGTCAAGCAATGGCTTCTCTGGAAAATGATGTCCAAACCACGCCCACACTGGGGCCACAGGACACCCCACCTCCCCCGTGTTCAGTCTCGCAGGGCTTGTGCAGATAGGGGCCCAGCTGGCTTAGTGGTGACTGTGACCCGAGAGGTCACACCAGGCACACCTCAGGAGAAAGACAGGGCTCTCGGTACAGAGTGACCGTCTCAGAAACCCACAGAGGCCGGTCAACCCTGAACTCTAGGGTCACTATGAGTCAGCATCGGCTCCACGGCAGTGGTTTGTTCCGATGGCTGCCCATGTAGAATTAGCCCATGGCCATCTGCCAAGAGCACCGAGGGGGTCGAAGGAGTTGGGCGAACCAGTGACCGAGTAGGTCCGGCCAATAGGCTGGCCCTGATCTTTCCCGCTGTCCACATGCCACCGCCAATGCTGTGGACACCCTGCTCCCTCGGCGCACCCTCCCTGAGAGGACTGTTCCTGGGGCACAGATCCTGGCACCGACATGAGAGGGTCTGAGTCCTCCCGGTGTCCCCAGCCCTCAGCCAACCTCACAGTTGTCCTGGTCCCCCACTGCCACTCACCAGCCTGAAGATCTTGCTGTAGAGGACTGCGCACAGTGGGGATCGGTGGGTGGTGGTCTTCTCCCCTTTCTTGGGCCCCTGGGACTCCAAGTACCCGCTGAGGATCCCAATCTGTGGGTGACGGAGGTTGGACAGCTGGGCCGTCAGGGGGCAGGTCCAGGGAGAAAGCTCCCAACCCTGGACCCTTACCCCCACTCCACGACCCCACTGCCCCGGCCGGGTTGGGCGTCCCAGACCAAAGCATTCCTAGAATCCCAAATCCAAGTCTAGCCCAAGGTCGTCCACCCATCATGATGCCTGGAAAGCTGAATGTGGAGGCTGTCCTCCTCTGGGAAGCCTTCCTTGACCACCCCTGCCCCAGGCTGGGCTAGATGGCCATTGTCCATGTTCCTTAAAGTGTCTAACACACAACTCGAACATAACTCTTAGCACTTTCTTCTCAAATTGTCTGTTCTTCTTCCTTCTTTTTTTTTTTAACCTCATCGGTTCCTTGTAAGAGATGTGGGACAGGGTTTAATCTATTCTTCTCACTAAGTGACATCAAGTCGATTCTGACTCATCATGGAGACCCTATAGGACAGCGTGGAACTCCTGCTGTGGGCTTCCAGGATGACTTCCTTAAGGGAGTAGAAAGCCTCATCTTTCTCCCTCAGGGTGGCCACCGGTTTTGAACTGCTGACCTGGAGGTTAGTAGCCCAACTC